TTAATTATTTAAGCTACTTTCTAGAAATCATCAGGGATAATGCAGAAGGTGAGCAAGTAATATAAAATGCCTAGGCTACAATCATTGCACTGAAAGGCTATATCTGTGTACCGGAATGGTTTTATTTATATTATAATCAGGATCAAAGGCAAGGTGTACACCTAAATGTCTCTACAGCTTTCCTAATAACTTGATAATAGGTTCTACCCTACTGTCATACTAATCCTATCCTACTCTAGGAGAGTGGATTCAAAATTTCAATTATTTTTAAATCATTTGACTGCTATGAAGCAAGACGTTCCATGAGGCTATCTTTCATATTACAAAATTTTTCTCAGACTTGCCACTTACATTTCTTGAATGAGGAGGCATGCTGGAGAGAGAACACTGAACAGGGTACTGTAACCACTGCTCCTGTTGTTTAGGTATCATTGTAGTTTATGGTGGACTAAAATATCATGTCCTTTAAATAATAGGTGGACTTAAATTCTAATACCTATTGGGAGGTAGGGAATGTCATTATTAAAAAGGTAGTAAAATTACCCCTTGAGTGAGTTGATTTTTATGTCAGTTGTAGAAGAAAAAGTGTTACGTAGAAAGCTATTAAACTGTCAGCAGTTCTGAATATACATGGGAATCCACAGGAATACTGTATTCAGTATCCTGTTCATTCTTGCAGTTAGGAAACAGTCTTTGTGTTTGTCACAATAATTTCTTATGTTTTGGTGTTAGTCTTCCTCATCATCTATACCTGTGATGCTAAGCTTCACTCTCACTTTGTTTTCAGTCTGATTTAAAAAAATCACGAGACAACTTTCAACAAGTATCCAATATGTTTCATATTTCATATTAGGGTGTACTTGAATGCTAAGGTTCTGTTTTGTAATGAAGCTCACGTTGCAAGGCCAAGAGCTGCTAGCCCTTTTTTCCCAGTGGGCACCTTTGTAACAGGTGACTTAAGGTAACATACTCAAGGCAGTTCATCTAAGGCTCATTTCATGAAGCATGTCAGCAGAAATACTGGCAGCCTTCCATTTCTCTTATAAAAGTTATAGATGCATACTTACAGTCTCTCAGTCTGTAGCACAAAATCTTGGCCTTTTTGTTAATTGTCTCAGTACTGGAACGCTTAGGATGGTCACTTAAGATGAGGGAGAGTGTGAATGACAGCAAATACACTTTGGATCTGTCTAATTTGGTATTAATGTTGGTATCAAATGTATTTCTCTTTTAAAAGATTAGCTCAAGTTTCTCTGAGCAGTTGAGCATACTAAGTGGCATAAGTGTGAGCAACTATATCTGTCCAAAGTAATTTTAATGTAACAAAATGATCATAAAGCTGAAACTGTTACATAAATCACAAGAAATGAATGTGGTATTAACTTAGGTCAATTAAATCCTACCTCCATTTAAGGCAGCTCCTTTATTAAAAAGGATTCTGAATTTTAATTATAAATTAAACTAGCTCTCTGCAAATAAAGTATTAAAGAGTAAGTATTTGACATTGTGTGTATTTTTACAGAACTTTGCTGTTTCACATAGCTTCAAAGCTGTTCTTGTTTATTGTTGTGGAGGGGGAGTGTTCCAAGCATGTGAGTACAGTCTTATGAAAGTAACTCAGGAGTTTGTCAAGGTCATGGCACATTTTCAGATTCATAAAAAGCTAGGTAGTAGTGGTCCAGCCTAATTTCTGTTGAAGAGACTTTCACATTTAATATTAGTTCACAAAATCTCATTGAATGATTATCCTTTGAAAGCAAAGCACAATTAACTGTATCTCAGAGATGCTGGCACTTCTCTGTTTGCATTTCAATACCCAAGACACACTTGCTGTTAGAGGCACTGCATATAATATACATGGCGTTCGTTGTCTGGGAATCTGAGTGCATGTGCATTAGAATTTCAGTTTGGATCATAATTGTAGAGGGATTGTGGGAGTTGGCAGGAGGTTTAGGGAAGTTTTCCAATAATGCTATTTAGTTGTGGTTCTCATTGTAAGTACTTATGTCTTTTTTGCATAAAACTTCTCTGGAAGCAGTGATCCAGCTGCTTATTGGATTTAGATTCTGTTATCAGACTAGGGCTGATTTGAAGTAAAATACACATATACATACGTTCTGGCTATTCAGTCCTCAGCATGAAGTGTTTCATTTAGTGCTTCATCAGATCACTTTCTGTAGTGCTGTGCTATTGTCTTTATGAAACAAACAACTCTTCATTCTGTCTTTTTTTTTTTTTGCTGTATAGTGTCAGAAGTTGCTACCTCCATATGAATAAATCAGGTTTATCAAAATGCACTCCTACAAAAGACCAACACTTCAGTAGCATGGCAGCCAGGATGAAGAGCAGGTTCTCTTACAGCTGTGTGTGTACCAGAGATTTCTCTGCCTTTCAGATGCCCTTAACTGATCTTCCTAAGCTTTAATCGTGGCCACATTGCTGGCAGCATCAATGTCCCATTTGGATCAGCATTTACTGCAGAAGGGGATCTCGTCCAGTGCCCAGCAACTGCCATGCTCCAGAGCTTTAAAGGAAGAGTTGTGGTGATTGTAGGAAATGCAGCGAAGAACACAGCTGCTGTAAGTATATTGCTATAACATATGTGTTTATGCTTAGAATTACATCAAGGGCATGAATACAGACAACAGTAAATAATGCTGGAGTCTGGATAATTCAGATTAGTAATTTATATCAGCTTCTACATGCTAAATTGTTGAACATCCTAATTTATCTCAGTAGGGGCCTAACTATTGACTAACGTCCTGAAAAACAGGAGCAGGAAAAAGGAAGTGCTTTGGTATTCTCTGATGAGTATCTTTATAGGAGATATCCCACATACTACCAAATTATGTTCTGGGAGGTTTTTTGCGGGACCAGTCAGAAATGTTTGATCTGAAACAGAGTAACACTAAGTATTCTGTCTAAAACAGAACCAAGAAACAACCTGAAGCAAGTGTCTGAAAGGAAAAAAGGACAAAGGCATTGCAGCCCATGTTGTGGATTACACTGTAGCTAAGAAGATAAAATTTTCTTCTGTAATGTAGTAACATTTCTTATGCAAACTTAGATTTGTTTTGGCTTTTACGTGTTTTGTTGAAGGAAAATTGAACATGTCCTTTGCAGTGCAGCTAAAGGAAACTTACAGTGTGTTTAGCAAGTGCAAGTACTTCAGTCACTTGAGAGGGTGCTGCCTTATCCTCAAACCCAGATTTTCTCCGACTGAGACAATGTTTACCCAGTTTACCTGGAATTGTCAATATTACAGCTTTCCGTGAAAGTGAAATGCTCCTTTGCCTCTTGATTTGCTCTTTGAGTTCTTGAAAGTTTAACTGAAGAGTGTAGAGTTTTAAATAGCAACAAAATACTGGATTGACCAGTTTTACCACAAATTAATTACATACTGGAGCCTAAATACTGGTGAGGACACACCACCTCTGTCACACCCTTAGAGTATGTATAAAACCAGCCTCAATTTGACTGTTAAGAAAATGTAGAACCCCTTACTTTTGTGTGTTTTTTTTAAGGCAGATTTCAGTTTCACTCTGTGTGGCTGCATATAGAACTGTCTCCCACTATTTGTGAACTTAACCAAACAAAATGGTAGGGGTAAGCATGAAAGCACTGATAATTTATGGGGTTATTTGTAATTAGAAGGCAGAAACTTTCATTTGTGTTTGGTATTAGTAGCCTACTTGGCGTAATTTAAATGATTTTTTAAAAATTAAAAAGTAATGTTAAATGTACCAGACAGATAAGTATAAGAAGCCTTTTGTGCTTTTCACACTTCTTTTCTGTTTCTGTCTTCTGTATTTTATTTGGTGCCAGGTGATAAAACACTTAAATTAGAAAGAAAATGCTGTCTAGAACTTGCTAGGCGAGAGGAGAAACAGAAAACTTCACCACAGCATTATTCCAGCAGGAGGCAAAGCAGCCAGCAGAGCTGCACATTTCAGTATAGCTCTGCCTCCAGCTGAACACTTCCTTAGGAGACAGTTAGACCAGGGTAATCCTGCTTGTTAAACCACTTAATTTATTCGCTCTAAAAGGTAAATTAATAGATTGGCTGGTCTACAAGGGCCTTACTGAATGTGCCATTAGCAGCATAATGATATTGAGAGGAGGAGCTTGCATTTGACGTCCTCTGGTGGTGCTTGGTTTGCACTTCCATGCAGAATATTCCTTCCTTTAGGCTAGTACTTGCTTTGTACCAGCCTTTCTTCTCCTAGGAGATTCTGGGTGCTTGTTAACAGAGCAGATAATTGTTTGTCTCTGAAAAGAGCAGGAAAGATCTCTATAAAAGCCATTATGCTGGAGTTAATAAACAAGACTCTATTTTGTTTTTTAACTTTTAAATATGTTAAGTGGCACTATCTATTAAGTGAATTTAAATTGCCCTTTCCCACATCCATTGATGGATTAAATACCTTGTAAATTCCAGTACAGACAAAGGATCATTACAGCTGGAGTATAATAGTAAATAGGCAATGAGTGCTCAAGTTTTCCTTCTTTTTTTGGTGTATGGCAAGTAGCAAGTCTCCTGATTTTTGTCACTTCCATAGTCTGAGATACAGCAAGTGCAAAGTCCAATCACAGTTAGGCATATGTAGGAAGGGGATTGGTCTGGGTCTTTTTTTGGAAGGGTGACTTTAGTCTTCATTTCCTCTCCATCGATCAATCTTGAAGGGCTAAGCCATTACCTGTTTCCATTTCCAAGTTTTTGTCTTTATTACCACAGTGTTGCCTGAAATTAGAGCAGGAGAAATACCTTACCTGATATTAAATCATGCACCAGGAACTTAATTCTGACAGTGACATGCTTCGACTTGTGTGGTGTGGTTGTTTAATATATATGTTTCACTCATTGTTTAATATATGTGGTTTATTGCCAGTTAAATGCTGTAATAGAATAAGATACACTTTAAGGGACACTTTAATCTGTCTAATAATTAGTAACCCATTTATTTGTTGCCTTGGTAAAAGACAGATAAGCTATACTAAGTCGAAGTTTAAAAACATCTGTCTTTATAGCAGGGAAATTCTGAATTGTAACTTCTCATTGTTATATTGTTATTTTTTTATCTAGATAAGCTATGCTGCTATAAAGACATTGTCTAGACAACTTCTACAAGTTACTGAAGCAAAGTAGTCATTTCATCACAGTAGCTAATAGATAAAATACATGAATTATCTCCAAAGCAGAGGCAAGCAGTCCAGATTTTCCATGAGATCCTTCTGACCCTTTTCAAGGCACGGGGGAGAGGGTCAAGTTCAAGATTCTTTTTGCATAACATATTCCTAGCATTAAAAAAAAAAAAAAAAAAATCTGTATGAAAGTAACGTTTACTCTCTCCCAGCATGCTATAAAATATATCTCTCTTCTTATGTGAAGGCTGGGACATGTAAGTGAAAGTGTACAGTTACCACTGAATTTGTGTGGTTTTGTTGTCATCTTTTTAAAATGACCTTGCCAGAGAAGCAAGTCTCTGCCTGCTGAAGCTGGTTTCTTGTTATAAACCTGTCTTGAAAATGCAAATGGATGGATACCTATGACACTTCCTAGGGTCATCTGAAGATTAGGTGTTGCATAGAGTACTAAAGGACAGATACATTCATGCTTCTAAAGACAGACGCATGTAATTAGAAGGGCCTAATGAAACTTCTACAGTGAAAGTAAACAGAAATTAGGCAATAAACTTCTTGACATGTTTCCACTATACCTCTCTTAAGAGCTGTATTTTGTTCTACATGTTCAATCACTTTTCTGCAGAGAATAAGTGGAACGAAAACTGACTACAGTGAAAGTAAACAGAAATTAGGCAATAAACTTCTTGACATGTTTCCACTATACCTCTCTTAGAGCTGTATTTTGTTCTACATATTCTCTGCAGAAAAGTGGTTGAACAAGTGGAATGAAAACTGAAAATATTTTCTCTTTGCAGGGATGGAGAGGCTCCTTATGCTTCACAGATTAGGGTTTTTTGTGTGTTAAGGCATCACTCACCCTTCTGCATTTAGAGTTAGAGACTACTGGAATCATCAGGTGCCTCTTTGTTGCCCTTAAAGAGAACGAGATTGTGTTTTGAAGAGATTGAATGGCTTAGTAGATCAGTAAAAAGCCTGCTGGTTGTATCTCTACCCAAGACATAGTAAGGTCTTAATTATTTTGAGTAAAATCTATTATTTTTAGTACTTTTTATTATCATAGCATGTATGTGTGTTTTCCTTCATTGTCTAGCTGTTGTAAGTACATTGCTCTTCACACGGCCCAAGAAAGACACTTGGGCTGCCAGCCAGGAGTTGTGTCATGCTGTTGTAATTCTACCCTCTCAGTGGGTTTGTTTTGTTTGCACTGAATGGCTCAGGTACAGCAGAGATGGTCTAAATATTCCTCCCTTCCAGGTAGGTATGAAAGAGGAAAAGGGGAATATGAACAATTCTGCTGAGGAGCTGAAAATTCTGCTCAGGAGCAGAATTTGAGCATTCCTTTTCCTCTTATGAAGTAGGTGCCAAGGAAAGCAGACTGTTTCTAAAACTCTAAATAGGTTCTCTGTTCTTTAATCTTTATTGAGACAAGCATTTACATTAGTTGGAAATGTTAGTTGGTTGTTTGATCTAGACATTGTTTGTCCCATCTATGTGCCTGCCTTACACAGAGGTCTGGATGTCCTTGAGATGAGGGATTGTGGGGTCATCAGCTTTACCGATCAAAAGAGGTCTGACTTCTGGGAAGTGCTTGGCAAGCAGGATCTAAACTCTCCTCAGCCTTCTGACAGATCTGTAAGGACAGCAAAGATGGGAGGTGGTGAATCTGAGTCCTGGAGTCATACTGCCAGGCTCCAGAGTTTCTTTCTGACGTGTCAGTCTTGGCTGTGGTTTTACTGTCTTTGTGTGATTCTGCCCTGAAAGAGCACTCTTGTCCTTTCATGAGCTTGCATGGATTAGGCTCTATCCCTGTCACTCAGGGCTACTGCATTATAATGTAGAATCACTTTCTGGGGCTGTTTTTTAATTTTTAAGGCAGTATTTCCTACTACTCCAGTTCAGAGAATCTGAAGTAATGATAACTGAAATAGAGATGATAGTGAACTCGTAAATGTGTGTTATATGTCTAGGAGACTTGGGTAATGTTATTCCCAGTTTAAAAACACACCTGTATATGAATCAGCTTTTGAAGACTGACTGGGTGCTACAGGAGGAAATGTGTCCATTGTGAGGGTGGTCCAAGGACTTTTATCCTGGAGTCTAAGAAGAAACAGGACAAATCTGGTAGTGTAGGCATGCCCTTAATAATATCTAAGAGCTGGTAGTTTCTATATGGATCTGACAGAGGCTTCCTAATCAGCTGTTTCTGTGGTTAAGAAAAAAGATTCTTGTTTGGGTAACAATAGCAAAACGCATTGCAAATCACAAAGAAAGGTTTTTCACCACCAAGTATTTCTTTGAACATTTTTTCAACATCTAGGACAATCTTTAGACTTGGAGAGAGGTATAATCTTTCAGAAAGACTTATGCTTCCTTTTTTATATCCAAGCCAGATGTTATGTGTCTTTTATAAAAAAAAAAAATAATAATTTCTATT